AGCGCCAGTCCACACAACATCGTCATTGAACAAGAGCTGAAATCAATTGATGCAACCACTGGTACAAGATTACCACAAGAAAAGTCTCCGGCAAAAAGGCGTCCCACGTTGTACAGTCTAGCCATTTCTTCTACTTGTTCCTTCTGCAAATGCTGTTGGAATGTTCCCGCTATCTGCAGCATTATCCACATCACTTCGTCGCGTGCTCTTCGGTATCCGGTTTTCACCAGAACATTCGACAGAAGGCTCAGTAAACGACTGAGATTTCTGAAATGTGGAAATCAGGAAGACAGCTGAGTTAAGAGAAGAAATGACAACTCACATATGTTTCTGTGTGATGCCGTACATGATTATGCTCATGAGATTTTCCCATTGATAGCGTGGGATTTCAATCTCTTCAGGAAGTTTTTGAACCTTTAAAGAAAGAATATGGGACAGACAATGAATGCGAGTCTTCTAGACTCAAGTGGGGTATTCCAATGAATTTCAGCGGACAAAAGCGAGGACTGTGACCGCCAAGCTTTGTCCCATGTTACGTAGACAAGCAGTTTATAAACCGAGAAAGAGGGCAGGACCTTGTATTTCGCGAGAACTTAACGACCCTTTTTGTCGTTACTGCGTGCAATAAGCGGATCTGGTTCTCTAAGCAGGTATCCAAAGCTGTGGAGTCTGTCGCTTTAGTGTTTTGCGACTAAGTAGATTTGGCGATTTGGGAAATTGCGCGACGAGGAAATAGGTATCGGTCTCGATTGCGGACGTTGAGCGATGTAGTCCGGGACACACGGCCTTTCCGGCGATTGCCAGAGCTGATGGGTATCGAGCGGCGCCGGTTGCTAGCGATTGCGAAGATTCGACGATCGAGCGTTCTCCGAAAATGCTAGGTCGCCGTATCGCTCAATCTCTCATATCGCTGTATGACCAAGTTCCGCAGTCGCTAGCGACCGGCGACGACGGATGGTCATTCACTCCTTTGATGGGAAATCGCCGGAATGCCGAGTCTCTAAAATCAGTATCATTGATCCTCTTCTCAATGCCTCATCCCCGCAGTCAGCGGATACCTACACTTTCCTTGTCGCGCAATCTCTCAAAACGCCGAGTCTCCCAGATAGCCAATCTCGTCAGTCAGTATAAACGCGGCCTAAAAAACAAGCGAGGACCATATGATGGAAACTGCCTGTTACCTAATGGTACATATGTTAAGAAGCAATCCAAAAAGAAAGAAAAAAGAAAAGAGCAAGTTGCCTGCTTGAAGAATTGCATTACGCTCTAACCTCTGCCATGGTTTCACTAATCAACACCGAGAGGATTTCATCCCACTGAGTTCTACCATGCGTGACTTGACGTAGTAGGCCCTAAAACGCTGAGTTCAAATTGAGTTCAAGCGACAAAGAAGATCGCAACCCCTGAAAGTTTCGAAAAAAAATTACCGAGAGCACTTCCTTTCCACGTGGCTGCCTTATGACAGTGTAAAGAAGGTATGTTTGTGGCGCTCGCAACTCAGCCTTGTACGGAAGGTAGGGAGCACGATGACTAAATATCTATAGAAATCCCACTGCTTCAGACAGGAATCGAAAAAGTGAATGGAAAGGTAAAGAAAACGGAGATAAAATCAAATACATCATATGTTTTGAAAAATGGCATAATATACCTGATTTGGGTGGTCAGGTGATCTATTCGACACGATGCAGCCGAAGCGGTAAAGGACGGATGTGCAGGAAGGGGGAAGAGAAAACACCTCCCAATGACATAGCTGAGCTCGGCCACTGCACGAAAGTACATTATCAATTCAGACAGACGATGAGCCAGGCGCTGTAATACAAAATAAGATCCCAGGAAGAAGGGTAGGGAAATTTCTACAAATCTCACAGGAAACATGTATGCTCGCTTGAGAATTCCACGGCTAAGTTCAGTTAGAGTGAAAATCGGTGGTATGACGTTCAGATCTGGGTCAAGAATCTTGAGGAGGATCTAAATAAACATAAAATAACGACATAGCACTAAAGGGGAAAAGCTTATAAGAAATGTCTTACACGTTCGGCAGGCAGTAATTGCCGCCGCTGCTCGGGAGATAGCTGGGCTGGTATACTATTGAACTGCTGGTATATCAAGCACCTGAACATTGGCATATTTTCGAGCTTTACAGAACCGAGACCTCCTTTAAAGCTAATTTCACGAGCAGGGTCTGCTCCTGATGAGTACTAAAGAGGATACAATAAACAGGCCAGCTTTCTTTTCTAGGGTATGAGGCTAACCCGTGCACATGGCGTAACTTCTTCCCGCTAAAGTTTTCCTAGCTTTCCCATATTCTCTTATGATTTTATCTGGGTGAATGACCTTTTTGAATAAAAAATGTCCCAAAAACGAGCAGAAGCTCAAATTATGCAAAAATGACTAAGGGAGCCGTTTTATACTAACAATCTTGCTCGCTGCGGAGTTGTGCCATGTGAAGGGCTGGGGATGCAGCGCCTATTTTCCACCAAATGTTGTTGTTTGCCCCCCCCCCTTGAAAAATCGGTGGAGAACGGGCCGGCTCCACGCTGAATCCAGCCTCACCCTCACCTGACCCGCCCCTGCATTTGCAACTAACAAGACATTAGAAATTTTTCGAGCGCGCTGTCGCATGTGCCACAGTGGCCACTAGTTATACCCCAAAAAACAGGCTAGACATTACTTACTTAAATAGACTTCGAACACCTTTGTAGTCCATGAGCGGAATATTTTCCTCGATGAAAATCCATTTCTGTGGATCCATAATAGTACGCAAGGTGAAATCTGCAGTAAGGGCCAATCCTTCGACACACATGCTAAATGCAAACTATTTAGGTCCAGCTGTAATCGAGCTAGTATCATGTCATTTCCAACAGAGAATGAACTCTTAGCCTTACATTGAGCGGGTTTCGAACGTCCCGTCACATGTTTGATACTGTCTTTGAGAGGAAAAACACCTTGGTCCAACTTTAAAAGCAATGATACCAGCGTAGGTTCTATGCCGACTGTTCAGGGACTGAGGTGACCTCCAATTCTTCAGCGTTTCCGATACCACTACTAAGGGTTACAGTACAACAAGAGTTCATTTGCCACAGCCTTTTATAGTGCTAACGGGCGGAAGCGGTATCGGTATAGTAGGCCCACTCTCCACCATTCCGATCTTGCATCGGCTCCTGCCCAACCAACCAAACCTCCATCCCCGGGGGGCAGTAAATTGCTACCAGATCCTTCTGGGAGGATAGAAAACACTGACATATACATGAGCTGGTCTGCACAAGTCGTTGTATGAAGCAAACCATGCTTACAATGACGGAACATCAAGGTGAATGCATGGTGCACAAAAGCAGAGGATCAGAACTACGCAAAGTTTTCCGTGTGTGCTTACAGATGAGCCTTTTATCAAATAGATTAGGGAGGATGAATGAACACTTAATCATAGAAACGAGCTCATGTGAAAGTAAGAGCTAATGACCGGGTTGACAAATGTGGAGATAGAAGACTCTAACTATGGAATAGAATTTTCTATCCTCGTGTTTGTCGTGTATGACAACACGAATATAGAAAACACTGACATATACATGAGCTGGTCTGCACAAGTCGTTGTATGAAGCAAACCATGCTTACAATGACGGAACAAGGATGCATGGTGCACCAAAAAGAAGGATCGAACTACGGCAAATTTCTTCCCTGTTGCTTCAACCTTTTACAATAGATTAGGAGTGATGAAAACCAGCTAATCATAGTAAACGACCATTGAAAGAAGACTAATACCTTTGACAAATGTGGAATAAAACTAACTTGATGGAAAGAACACCAGCTGCATGGGCATAATAGAGGATGGCATCGACAACACGTTCATATTCCTGGCGCCATTGCAACGATGATTCGTGTACTATAGTCACAAGCTCCATGAGTAGAACACCTCTTTCCTTCTACAAAAATGGAAAGTTTATCCGAGCACTTCACCAACACCAGAATCAGCATGTTCGCTTTTGATGGAGTACTTTGCTCTTTTGCAGTTTTCTAAGAAACCGGTTAACCTATGATAGCGGATTTTCAGCTCGGGTGGTCGATTTATCAGTTTTTGGTCACGATTCTTCACATGCGCGAAGTATAAATTTGGCCTAACCGGGGATCATCACGAATCCTATTCAAAGTTACCTGTCCCTGACCGGAAACCGTTCCGTATGTGATCGATCAAGTGAAAAACGTGCCTCGTCCATTTTGCTCAATAAAACCACAGCTTGAACGCCGAGCATCTCATCAAAGTCCTTATTTGCCGTCTGCATTTGCCAGAACACTACTTCGAGGAAATTTTCGTGCTGAAAGCTCAGAATGTAAAACTTTCAGGAATAGGTTCCGTAGGAGTCACTCATACCACAAATTCTATGATGCAACGTCGCAAGCGTTCAATATCCAGCGGCCGTTGTGGAGCCTCGTCGCCTTCCTTGAGAAGGAGCGACTTATCCTTATCGTCGTGCCCATCCGTCGGCTGTCCGGCCGTAGCCGACATAGCAATGGGTGCTCTGCTGAAGTTTTCAATCAGTACTTACTGGACAGTGCTAGTTCTGTACAGGGCCTCAATAGAATAGTCAGGCCGCATTCACATTTGACAACGTTGGAGAAATAACGAAACTGCACATAGAAAAATGTATATGTACGATTTACCGCGGAATCAGGAGAAATGCAGAAATGTAGTCTGCTGAAATGACGGACAACGACTTAATAGGGATTGATCGCTCAGCCTCACCAGCGGGAGAAATGCCGAAATGCAAAAATTTCGGCATTTCTGCGGACTCCTTATTAATGCATTTCTCCCAGTTTCGCAGGTCTGCAAATTCCGCCTCTGCACATTCCGCGGTTCGGCATTTCTGCATCATGTATGAACGTGGCCTCACAGCCTAGTCGCTGAGGAGGGTTGTGTCAGGCGGGGTGAGTTTGGCGCGGTGCCAAATCCTTTCTCCACCACCTGTTGGAGCAAGCAAGTGAAAAGACTATCATGTCGTTCGTATTGCTCGTTGTCTACCAACTGCTGCTGAAAAATCGCTTAAACAACTGGCAGAGATTGGGTATGGTGCAGTGGCACACTCACAAGCCCCTTCATCTGCACCGAACTGAAACGTATGTGCTAGGACACATGTCGAGGCCAGAAAGCATTACGTGGCAGACCTTACGACATGCACTCGGGCGGAGAGCTCTGGTGCGGGCATACCCACTGCTTTATGCAAACATGAGTTTCCGCATTACGTAGCTAGAGGTAAATCTACAAGCTTATTCCCCTACCCGAAATCATGGTGAACATACTACTTCCGCAGCTCGAAAATACATGAGCGAAGCGCGACCCACTAGCGACGAATCCACGGCCCCGCCTACTGGTCACGGCAATTCCCCCCCCCCGCCATTTCTAAAGGCTTTCTGATCGCGCGGTTGTTCCGCCGCTAATTCTATCCATTTCGACTGGTGAGGATAAATGATAATGAGAAAGAGCCCATACCAGCAAGCGAGAACTTGTCCAATCACTCCCATTCTTCGTCTTATGCACGTACAAAGTAGTTTCGATTGGGATTCCGAATGGGGATTCCCAGGGCAATTTCCATGCTTTTTTTTCTTCGCTACTGTGTTATCCACCCCGCTAATTGTGTTTGTGTTGTACAGTTCAGCATTTCTGGACGCGACCTCAACAAAATTGTCAGGCTCTGCCCTATACTAAGACTAGCGCATTCGAGGCAGTCACCAACGAGCGTAATTCCATTGCAGCCCTCCCAAAAAGGAATAATACAGGGATGAGTGAGCGACACAACCCGTTAACCCATATCACCTACTAAACACTACGTTGGTAAGCCATAAATCAAGCTTCACCGAGGAACCCAGTTCATTTATCGGGAACGACTCAGTCTGAATAATCAAGATTAGTTGTCTTCGAAACAAAAAGCCGAAAGCCCAATTACCGATTTAGTAGCCAAAACCCAGCATCAAAACAAAGATATTCAAAAAGCGGAGGGGCCTTTCACCCAACAGGATGCGCCTCCTTGTTTACGTAACATTGCAGACAGTATCACCCCAATGACGCAACGGTGCACTCCTTCGATTTTCCTTGCTTCTGCTTTTTTATTTTTGTTTCACACTAAATCGTTGAAACAAGAAACTTTTTTTCCGATGTGGGTGTGATGCTCCAGCTTTTCTCATAAACATCAGCTTTTTTTCAGGTATGAGCCTACTTGATATTGAAGGCCTTTCGCCGGAATTCATTGAACCTGTCGAATTTGAAGAAGTTGAGCTGGTTGAGGTATGTTTATTCCGAGCGAGCAATTCTCGAAAGTTTCATATCCGCTTTCAGAGTGGTCTCGATGTTGGAGCAAGCAATGAAGGTGCAGCAGTCGTTTATGTTAACAATGACAGCGATAACTTCCTACCGGAAGAAGTTTATCAATGGTCGGACGGGACTGTAACCTTTGAAAAGGTTGTTGACAGCGGAGAAGAAGTACGATCGCACAATATTCTTGAGTGCTGAGTTTTCTGTATTGCAAACTTTTTCACACTATAATTTTGCATGGTGTGCTCGTCTCTTAAATTTATATGTGTTCAGATTGCTCTTCAACCGTTCGATGATGTTGAAGGCACAGTCTATAACGACCCGCAATTCGAGTTAGTTGATTTAGCCTTGATCTTTATGAAAGCGATTCGTGTGCATCAGTATTTCTACCAGCTTACTTACCTCTATCATGACCCGTACATAACAACAGTGCGCAGTTTGAGAATTCACGTAGACGAGCAATGATATTAAGCGCTGCCTCAGTTCCGTCATTGGTGGGAGGGGGGGGGGGCTTGATATTTTCTTCTGGAACACCGTGCTGTGAAATTTGGAGACTTCAACTGGTAGCTCTTCTAATGTATTGAAATAAGGAGAACAACAATAAACTGAACCTCACTCTTTCATGAGTTGGGCTAATATATTACGCTCGATAGATATGAGCTTATAGGCGAGAACACTACCGCGTGAAAAAATACGGAAGAGGTATTTGACATGAATCACGGTAGTGTGGTTGCCTTCTCTGCTCAGTTCGGATTACGTCTTTTTCGTTCTGACTTTGGTGCCCCTTGTTGCCATAAGATGTGTTCATTGACGGCTGCGGTTATGGATCTGAATTGTGGCTGCCAGTGAGAAGGCATTGCATATCATTCCGAGCAGGACGCATTGGAATTGTAGTGTTATTACTAGGTTGTCCCAAAAGTTGGTGACCATTTTCAAATTTCGTATCAGATCCTTCTGCGAGCATCTCGAGATCCAATTATGTGGTCTATGAGAAATGTGTTAAGTAAGCATCCCACAGTTGCTTTACCGTCCCTCGCAGTCGCTGTTCTCATATCCAAAACGGTAATTGAAATTCATCATTTTCGACACACTTCGCTATATGAATCTCCACCAAGCCACAACGTGGTTGGAGCCACAAGCGGCATTTCTCTGAGTTAGGTCCTGATGGTACCTTCCACAGTACGGCGTTGAAATGGCCCGATCGCTTTCGCTTGAGTGACTTCTACCTGGGAGAAAAACTTCGTCCAGGGAGGCCACCTGCCTTGGATTTGGACCTACTGTGTTCCTTGATTAAAACCAATACGTACAAATCAACTCGCTATCTAGTCCTTACACTTGACTGTTCCAAAAACTAATGACAGAACGCCTCGCTTCCTTGAAAAAGTTCTGAAGTTCGGTCAAAATTTTTCTCATGAGTTGACCAGTACTCCAAGGGGAGCACATGTGGGTACTGTCTACAACTTCTCTCCCGCTTCCGCCGTACGGACTGGTTGAACAGCGTTGTAACTGGATATGGAGGAGGTGTCTCTAGGTGAATCACTCCCGCGAGCGCTAGTGGCTAGATCCTCTGAAAAGGGCAGGATTGAAGCAAGGGAGATTCAAGTAGTATGCCACTTGAACCTGGTATACTGAGCCACGTAATAGGCAATCGCTGATACTCGACAGATTATACACTTTTGCACTTCGATTATATACAAACCGCTATACGGGTTTTAATCCGCTAATTACAGCGTAATGGGGCAGGTATGTTCTTGGTGTTTCAATAGAGTGATTCGGAACTTCACTTGATGCATCGTTGCAATTGTTCTGTGATGATATTGTCGTACTTCTTCAGATGAATTTGATTTTTCGAGAGGGTTTTCCAGTTTGATTTTAAGCATGCGAGGCTATAATGATGATTTCTGGAACTTCTTCTGGCTTGCCTGAGGGGGAGTCTCGCGTAGCAACGATATTTCGTTTCTACGTAACGCCCGGTTTTGTTGAAAAAGTCGAGATAGAGGTTTGTGTCCGTTAGCTAGTGTAGAGGAGTGGAACTCTCACAGGATTATTTGCCTGAAGTGATCCGTGCCATTGAGAATGCCTGTGGCACTACCTTTCGCGAGTATCGAAAAGTTATTGGCGAGCTTCTCTGTGATAATCGGAAGTTTGTGGAGAGTTGGTAGGGGTTTCGTGAGGAGAGGAGGTTATTGTGCTTTTATCTGATACAAGGAATTATTGGTAGCAGATATTCACATCATACTGCTTCGATTGTACGACCTGGGTTTCCTTATTGCCAAATGTGTCAGGAGTGACGTTCTTTTCCGTGGTGTATCCTAATTCGAGCTTTTGCTCGGTTGTTATGCATGAGTGAGTTCAGCCATTGTCTAGGAAGGCCACAGTTTCCACCCGCTTCTTGTCGGTATTTGAGTCCACCAATGTGACCTAAGTGCACATGAGTAGAATCTCTTCATTATTCGTTCGCAGTTTATCCTTCTCTACTCCACTTGTTGCGGGATTGGTGACTGAGTAACAAAGGTCGCCTTCCTAGTTCCGTTTTTATTTATTTATTTGTTTATTTCCATACACTCAATGTATGCACACAAAAATATTTAAAAAAATAAACGAAAAGGAGTGGGGCGGAATGTGCAACGGGCTTGATGCATTGACACAAAAATGAACTTGACATCTCATATAATAAGTCGAAGAGCTTTGACCATCGAGTGCTAAGTAATCCTTTTTCCGACGCAGAGATAAGCCAAAAGTTTCAGTTCACGTAATCAGCAGATTTCTGAACCAGTTAACCTAAAGGACCCAGGGGCATTCATTTGTTTTTTTTTTTTTTTTTACTCATTTATACATTACAGACCTTTCTTTATCAAGGCCCGGAACTTCTTCCGTGTTGGGAAGCGGGTAGAGAGATAAGTATAAGTTTATTACGTGTGCATAAGGCATACGTGAGAAAAAAAGATCGGAACACATTACATATACAAGTTCCAATATTGATAAGTTAGTTACAATTTTTCGAAAACAGTAATTAACCAGCAAAACACCAACTTATCGACCAGTCTCAAGAGAGCTAGACCCACCATACCTTAATAACCTTTTGGAAATACGGTGTCTGAACTGAGCATGTGACAAAGTGGCAGGTATGGCTTTTGTTAACTTCAAATACGCGCTGCCCGCCCTGAAGGTGAAGCTCTTGGCACGTAAATTAGTCTTGGGTTTTGACAAATAGATCTTCATGGGACCACCTCTAGTGTTCGAATGAACCATTCTGAAGACATTACTGGAACCAGACCCACGCGATCTTTTAATAAGCTTGTGAACTAGACAAAGATCGAAAACATTCCGTCTGGACTCCAGAGATGATAACCGTAGGAGTTTATTCCTGTTTGGGGCATTCGGCATTTCTGAGTAGACAAAGTTACTAGTTCTAATCATTAGTTTATGAGTGAAGCTATTTTGTACCCTCTCAAGTGCGTAAATGTGCTTCTTTTTCGTAGGGCTGAATACCGTAGTGCTAGCTTCTACTAAGGGTCTAAGTAGGTCTTATAGGCACGCAGTAATACTTATGTGTTCGTAGATGATAGGCTTTTGAAAAGGTGATATATACGTGAGTGTGCTGTTTGTACCTTTTTTTATTAATATGCTCCGAAAAATCTAATTTATCAGTGTAGTAGAAACCGAGATCTCTGACAGACTGGGTAGCAGAGAGTGGGACCCCATCTACAGTGTAAGCGGACGATGGTTGGATGTTTCCGGAGTTGAACTTCATGTAAACTGTTTTCTGTGGAGCTATAGGCAACTGCCATTTCTTGGACCAGTCGACTGTTACATTCATGGCCTTTTGTACGACCAGATAGTCTTCTTATAAATTTTCAAGTCGTCAGCATGTATACTCGAAATCCCTGAGATCGGGTAGGCGTGGCCGCATGTTTCAACTTAACCTGAAGGTGTCTATGCTTCTGGTGAGATATTTTCATCTTGACACAATTGTTGTCGTGTCTCTGTCCAACACAGAACAAGATGACAGTTGTCCCAGACTGGAATATTCCACGAGTAACCAATTCCGTGCCATGTTCAAATGCCACGCCTACTCTGGCTCAGGGATAAGGAGTGTACTTTAGCTGTGACTCCTCCTTCTCTAAGCATACCAGGAAGTTCGGCCGTGAAAATGTTAAAAAGAACAGGTGATAAGGACACCACCTTGGGGTACTCCACTTAGCACCTGTTTAACATTGGAGTAGGACTGCTCATTTTTGACCTGGAAGGTTCTGCCGAGAAGATATTCCGATATCCTCCTGAGAACAGAATGGAATCCAAGGACTCTTATCTCAAGATGAGTTTCTTATGTGAGACTCTGAAGATGATTTCGCAAAGTCAAAATATATAACGTCGCAAGAACACTTATTATCAAGGGCTACAGTCCAGTCATTCAGACATTCAATCATATTGGTTTCAACAGAGCGACCAGGAAACAAATCCATGTTGATGATTGGAGATGATATGATTGAGATGGAGATGACGATTGATATGGTTTTTCAGTACTTTCTCAAAGAGCCTGCAAAACATGGATAGTTTTCGGGACTGCATGAAGGCTCCTTCTCCAAAATGGGTGTAACAAAGGAATGTTTCCACCGAGACGGGACCTCACCTTGGGTTAGCGATTGATGAAGAGATATGCAAGCGGTCCACAAATAACTGGAGCCGTTTTTTGCACAATTATGAAGGGCTCGAAATCTGGGATAGCGAAGAAAGATGCGGGCCACTTCATGATCAGTACAATGCAGAAACGCTGAAGCGAGGAAAGTCTTGCATAGGTTCAACATTAGGAAAGACGAAATCAGGGGTTCTCCCATCATCTTCCTGGAAGACGCTTTCGAAGTGTTCAGCTAACAGGTTGGCTTTATCCATGGGAGATGTTGCTATGATATTCCCTTTCCGCAAGCAACCAATACGCTGTATGTCCTGAATTCTTCAACTTGGGTACCTATAGAAACATCTAACATTCCCGTACTCAATAATTTTCTTCTCCAGATAGATATTGTACTTTTTGAGATGGGGGAAGAATTTTTTTGAAGGTATTGTACTTATCCCATCTTTTGGATAGCCTAGCTTCATAAAACAAACATTCATGGTGCTCCCACATATTTTGCAAGTGCTTGGGAAGATAGATGGATTTGACACAAGGGACCCTCTTCCAAGGAACAAAGAAATCCGCACTGTGTAGAACAGACAAGAATAGCTCGTACTTCTCATTCAAACTGTCTCTGGATTCAAGCAAGGAACCCAGTGTATTTGTGCAAGACTACGATTCAGTTCACTGAAGTTACATCTGGAGTACGTACGCCGATAATGTAAATGGGACAGGGTAGTTGAAACATGAGATTGAACGAAATGCTATTATGATCACTAACTCCTACCGGAGAGACCACAGTCAAGCCTTTGATCAAAAACGGTGCACTAGAGAAAACTAAATCAAGTATGCTATCCCTTTGGTGGCTCCACTAACGAGTTGCTCAAGATTATGACATTAAACGAGTTCTTTTAAGCAGAATACTAGAGATGATCTGGTAAGAGCTTCGCTCTTCTGGCAAAACTCAGGTAGATTGAAGTCACCCACAGTAAGGCTGCGTTTATACTTTGCGGCAGCGTAGCGTAGCGCTTCCAGCGTACGCCAGCGGCAGTGTCCGGGGAAAGGATAGATATCGATCTAGCTTCACCAGCGTCACCAGCGTACGCTAGCGCGCTGGCGTAGCGAGGGCACGGGAAGCATAGCTATCGATCTAGCTTCACCAGCGTTTTCCCAGCGCTTGCAGCGACGGGGCTAGAGAGGGGCTAGAGAGTATTGAAGGTAGGAGAGTATTTTGTACTCTCCTACTTTCAATACTCTCTAGCCCCGCTAGCGCTTGCGCCTACCTTCAATACTCTCTAGCCCCTCTCTAGCCCCGTCGCTGCAAGCGCTGGGAAAACGCTGGAGAAACGCTGGTGAAGCTAGATCGATAGCTATGCTTCCCGTGCCCTCGCTACGCCAGCGTAGCGTACGCTGGTGACGCTGGTGAAGCTAGATCGATATCTATCCTTTCCCCGGCACTGCCGCTGGCGTACGCTGGAAGCGCTACGCTACGCTGCCGCAAAGTATAAACGCAGCCTAATACTATGCCTCTCGCCGTAGGGAAGCGGTGTGGAATGTGAGAATGGAGAGAGTGAGGATGATTGGATGAGAGGAGTGATAATGAGCTGTGAATGCATAAAAGAGTTGTTCTGGTCTAATAAATCACTGCTCTCCCAGTGTCGCAACTGACGATCAGTATGAGATCTAGCTGAGGTTAAAAATGCTGCACAATAGCCACTATGGGTAAAACAGGATGATTAGCCTGGCACGAACCAAGATATGGTTCCCAGGCATGGATAGGGCGGTGGAAGAAATGGCAAAGAAATGCAGCACATGTGCAGTGATGGGTAGAGATCCGGTGAAGGTACCTCTACACCCATGGGAGGAGCCGAAAGAAGTCTGGCAAAGGCTACACATTGATTTTTGTGAGACAAAAGGGGGGATAAAATGGCTGATCCTGGTGGATGCTAAGTCCAAGTGGCCGGAGGTGGCCAAAATGGGCACCACCACAGCCGAGAAAACGATAATGGCGCTGAAGGAGGTTTTCAGCAGGAATGGGTTGCCGGAGCAGTTGGTTTCCGACAACGGACCCCCCTTTACTTCGGCGGAATTTCGTGAATACTGCTGTAAAAGAGGTATTCAGCAGATATTCGCACCGCCGTACCATCCTAATTCAAATGGAGAAGCTGAGCGTTTCGTGCAAACTTTCAAAAACACCCTGTATAAAGGGTTACGATCCAACAAAAGTCTGGAGAATGCGTTATTGGATCTTCTGTTCGAATACAGGGTTACATCCCAGCGACGGGACAGGCACCCGAGGAAATGCTGATGGGAAGGAGCTTGAGGACTACTTAGATATAACAAGGGCAGAAATATCAAGTCCTCAAATATGTATAAGGAAAATATGAAGAAGAATTATGATCGAAGGAAAAAGGAAAGGAAATTTAGTGTGGGACAAGAAGTATTCATTCGGAACTACACCGGGTCAGGGGAGCAGGTGGATACCTGGAATTGTAGTCAAAATTCTAGGCTCAAATACTTATGAAGTTCATTTCGGCATGGGAGTAAGAAAAACCCATGCGGATCAGAATGAAAGAAAGAGTGATTCCGTGGGAGTTAGTAGATGAGGGATGGTTAGAGAAAAGGGACCGGAGAGCTCGTGTACAAGCTAGAGAACCTACCGAAACGATAGCGTCGCGTCCCTCCTCGGCAGGCTACCGCTAGAATGAAAGAGTTCCAGGAAAATGAAAAGCGTAGGAAAATAAACTGCATAAGGATGATAGTGAATGAAGACGAAAACAAAAACAAAAGTTATCACCGCGGTGCTTATAAAAGAAGGATGGATGAGTGTGATCATTCAGTTATGTTCGCCTTGCCAACCACCGCAGCGGCAGGGGGGACGGGACAAGCCCGTTCTTCACC